AAATAGGGCTTGCTGTGGTGAAAGCCCACTGTTTTGGCCTGTCAGCCGCTCTGCCTCCACCAGAGGAGGAGGAGGCGGCGTGGGAGTCAGGATCAGAAGGCAACCTGAGAGCTCCGAGGGGGAAGAAGGAATGGAGCTGGCAGAGAGAGATGGACACAGGCGGAGGAGCCTGGGCCATCCGTCAGCCCTCAGATGGAGAGTCAACAGCCCCCAGGTCTGGAGGTGGCTGATGACGCAGAGGAGGAACAACTGGATCCAGTGCCTGGCGTGCGGATGTGCAGAAGGCAGAGGAGAGGAGAGCAGTGGAAATCTATGGGCTGGTCCTCAGGACAGAAAGAGCCACCACTGCTAGAGGAGCCCCACTCTAGCTCTGGGGATAAAAGGCAGGGGGCAGAGATGAATAGATGTGGCAGATAACTGTTCTTCTCCCAGATGGACAGACTTATTAGAGAGAAGCTTTTTTGCCGGGGTTGCCAGGGCTCCTAATTAAAGGAATCGTTTGAGTTCACGTCAGAGGGTTTGTCATGTTTGGCGGGCTGGGTCAGAACAGCGATGGTGAGAGAATTGTACTTGAAAAACAACTGTTGAAAAACATCTGGAAGGATCTAATGTTGGTGTGAATCAGTCAGAGGTAGACTTCATGTTCTTTTCAGGGAGTCCTCAACTTACAATCACTCGCTTAGTGGCCATTTGAAGTCACAATGAAACTGAAAACAGTGACCGCTGACCATTTTACACGCAAGTATTGTCACATGATCAAAATTCAGGTGCTTGGCAACCGGCATGTATTTCATGACGGTTGCAGAATTCCGGGGTCACGTGACTCCTTTTTGCGACCTTCTGACAAACCAAGTCCACGGGAAAGCCGATCGATCTATCAGTCAGAATTGAGCTGGAAGGGACCTTGGAGGTCTTCTAGTCCAACCCACTTCTAAAGCCGGAGACTGTACACCCTTTCAGACAGGTGGATGTCCAGTCTTTTCTTGAAAAGGCAGGGGATTGGACTAGATGACCTACAAGGTCCCCTGTTAAGAAAAACCTACAATTTCGGAAGGAAAACTGTTCCACTGGTTAATTGCCAGATTCGTTTAACAACCCAACTGAACAACCAAAGTCATTCGGATTAACAGCTGCGGTGAGAATGGTTGCAAAATGGGGGAAAGTCGCTTAAAAGTTATTTTTGCTCAGCCACAGAATTGTCGGGCTCAACTGCAGTTGTAAGTCAAGGATTGTTTTAAAATCAATTTCTCACAGCAGGTGAGAAAAATAACTTCCGGTAGATCCGTCAGCCTCTGAGATCCATGTGAGGTTCAGCAAGAAGTCTGGGCCCAATTAAAGCAATTTTATTCCAAAGAATAGAGAAGAATAATTTCTTTCAGCCAACTTTGTGCTTTGGTTCCCAGGGGGTTAACCAAAGGGATGATTCATCCGTAGGAACCTTTTGTGATTTTGCAATCCTTATCAACTCCCTCCCTCTGGACATCTCAGATTATAATAATATTCCATTACACTGATAAAAATAAAATAAAATAAAAAAAAAGCCCCACAGATCTATCTCTTGTGCCTCGTCCAAGGTCAGGCGTACATTCACGGCAGATGAACTTTGAGCAGGTAGCTGCTCTTAAATCCCATTTAAGTCCTATTTTTCTTACTCTGGATTTCAGCCAGATCAGATTGTTTAGTGCAAAAGGCAAAAGTCTCCAAGATTTTCTGAGCTCCAGGAAGGAATAAACAACATTTTAAAGATGCTGGCAAGATCGGCAGGCCTACAAGTTTGACTTTCAATACAGGTAGTCCTGGAGTTACGGCCACAATTGAGTCCAGAGTGGCTAAACAAGGCAGTTGTTAAGTGAATCTTGCTCCATTGTACAACCATTGCCATTGTCATTAAGTGAATCACTTTTAAGGAATTGTTCGGCTGTTAAATCCAGCTTCACTCATTGTTGCAAACAGAGATCAAAATGATGCCGGGGGCGCTGTAACCGTCATAAATACATCCTCAGTTTCCAAGCGCCCGAATTTTAATCACGTGATTGTAGGGATGCTGTCATCTTTTTCAGTGCCATTGTAATTTTGAACAGTCACTAAATGAATCATTGTAATTAAGGTCTCCTCTGGATATTTCCATGAATTTATCCAGGGGTTTTCTTGGTGCCTGCCAAGGAAACAAGTTTGCAATGATTTTCTTCCTAAATTGCCAACCTGGTCCACAAATCATAGGATTTCTGAGTGGTCTCCCATCCAAATAAGAGGGCAGCCTCCCCCCCCCTTTTTTTTTTCTTTTTTAATCTGTGAATTTGTTTGGCTGGGGATTCCTGTTCTAATGGATACGGAAATGTATTTTTCAGACCTTGATCAATTGTTCTATTTTCCGGTTTTCACTTGTTGGATTTTAACAAAACATTTGTCTTGCCTGACAATTTAAATCTTCGATCCTCTTCCTGTTGTGCGGTGGGCGGCCAAGTAAATTGTTTATAAAGAAATAAACCACAATAAAAGGCTTCCAGCCCAGACAAGATCTGCCAGCCAAAAACTTTTGACTATAAAAGCAGATTTAAAATGTGCCCATTTCACTCCGCGAAAACCAGCCCAATTGCTTACAACGATACTTTGGGGGGTTTTTTGGTTAGAAAAGGATGTTTTATTATTTAAAAAAATCCATACTTAGCGGAATGTCACTCTCTGCTTCTTTCCAGCAAGCTGGGAACGTTCCAAAGTTTCACTTGGGAAAGACTGAAAGAAGGAAAAAGAAAATGTAAAAATCCAGATAGTCCTCGACTTACAACCACAGGGGAGCCCCCAAATTTCTGTTGTTGAGTGAAACATTTGTAAAGTGAGCTCTGCCCCATTCTTCAACCTTTCTTGCCAGAACTGTTAAGTGAATTACTGAAATTGTTAAGCTTTACCTAATTGTTATACTTTATTTACTTAACACCGTTGTTAAATCTGGCTTCCCCACTGACTTGTTTTGTCAGGTGGTCACAAAAAGGGACCACGCGACCCCGGGACTGCGACCCTCCTAAGTATGTGCCTTGGGGATGCCACAATGATTGTAAGTGTGAAAAACAGCCGTAAGTTACTTCTTTCAGTGCCTAAATAACTTTGAATGGTCACTAAATGAACCGTTGTAAATCAAGGACCACGTCCAGTGCAGCCTTCTGACAAGCAGTATCCATGGGGGAAGCCAGATTCACTTAAAAATGGTGTGACTAGCTTAACAACTGCAGTGATTCACTTAACAACCGTGGCAAGAAAGGTCGTAACATGGGGCAGAACTCCCTTTATAAATGTCTCACTTAACAACAGAAATTTTGGGCTGAATTACGGTCATGTTGCTAACTCAACAACTGCAATGATTCACTTAACAACTGTGCCCAAGAAAGGTCATTATATGAGGGAAAATTCATTTAACAACTGTCTTGCTTAGCAACAGAAATTTTGGGCTCAGCTGCGGTCGTTAAGTTGAGGACTACCTGTAACCCCACCATTGAATATTTAGTCCTTGTTTAGGGGCCACAGTGGGGGGGGGCAAAAACTTGGTTGTTAAGTAAAGAAGTACTAAGTAAAATCACAACTGTGCTTATGATCGTATTTTAGCCTTACTTTGCTTTGTAGACCTGCCAAGATCCTATATAGAGGATTGTAGTGGTATTTTTCCCATTTCGGTCCAATCGCAAATGGTCGCTAAACGAGGCCATCACTAAAAGCAAGGACCACGTTGAAAATTCCCGTTGTGTAGTAGAATCAGTGGGCCACCATACAGCATGGCCAGTACTACAACTGTGGCAGCTTTGGAGACTGTAGCAGTGGTGGGATTCAATTATTTTTTACTACCAGTTATGTGGGCGTGGCTTGGTGGGCGTGGCAAAATCCCCATTCCCTCCCCACTCCTGGGGGAAGATTACTGCACAATCCCCATTCCCTCCCCACCCCACTAACCTGCTTTCCAGCTCCGTTCTCCTGGGCAGGGCAACCAAAGAAGACCCAGCCAATCAACTGGGATTGTGGAGGCGGAGAATAGATGGGGGTGGGGCCAGTCAGAGGCGGAATTTGCCAGTTGTCCAAACTATTCAAAATTTCCGCTACCGGTTCTCCAGAACTGGTCCAAACCGGCTGAATACCACCTCTGACACGGAGGTTATACAACTGTGAGGGAGGAATGCAAGGAGAGATGTGTGAATACGTCCATTTTGTGGTCAGCCTTCCAAGGGCGTTTTTTAAATATGACTTAATTTTTTTAAAAAGAAAGATTAAAAATGTATTTTTTTATGGCCGAAGTGTCCCGGGAATCAACCTTGTGCAACCTTGTGACAAGCAGATGGTTCGCTTAATGACCATATTACTCACTTAACAGCAGCCATGGTTCACTTAACAACCTTGAAACAAATGTTTGTAAAATGGGGAGGGTAGCTTTTTTTAAAAAAAAATGATTAATTAAAAAAAAAGATAAAAAGATATTTATACACTTGTAATGTGGTCGGTCTTATTTTTTTAAAAAAAAAAAAACTTAAAATTTTCTTTTGTGATCCTCTTTTGTGACCGCCTAGGAAGCAAAGATAATGTGGGAGCCAGATTCACTTAACAACCGGGTTACTCACTTAGCAACCCCAGTGGTTCACTTAACAACCGTGACAGAAAAGTTACAAAATGGAGGAGTTTTTTTTAAAAAAATATGCTGGTAACGATTAATTTTTTTAAAAAAAAAATAAAGATCAAACATGATCCCCTTTTGTGACCTTCTGACCAGCAAATGGGGAAGCCAGATTCACTTAACGATGGGGTTACTCGCTTAACAACTACAGTGATTCATTGAACTGTGGCAAGAAAAATTGTAAAATGGGGGCAAACCTTACTTAACTGTCTTGCTTAGCAAGGGGAATTTGGGGCTATTACGGTTGTAAGTCAAGGACATGTATTCCTCAGGGGGGAAAAAATCAATAGCTGAGAGGTCCTATCATTTTTCTTGCAATTTTTCCACTTTTTGACTTGCGGATTTGCAGATTCCCAAAATAAGTGAGATAATTTCTATATTTCTAATGTGTTTATTGGGGAAAATTTGGTATTTGTTCACCAAGTTTGATCCTAAGATGTTGCTGAAGTGGAGGAAAACCACATGAAGGGCCATTTGTAAAAGTACTCGTTTTTTTATTGACAGGATCTAAAGGGTGACCGTTGTGTCTCCTTTTCCAACACAAACCTCGCAAAGTTGCACTTTTCATACACTTTTGGTTTTTCCCGCAACGCTGGCCAGAACCCCCCACCGAGGTCCAGGACAATGCTGTCCAATCCCAGCATCGCTGTCAGCTCAGCCATCCTCCAGGCAAAGACCGCAACTCCCAGAATTCTTAGCTCCTCGCTAGGAATTCTGGGAGTTGCCCTCTCTAAATATGGCTGGAGTGGCTTCAAATATATATATTTTTCCCACACATACAACTCACACATCCAAACGGGAAAATGTAATGCGTGTTGTTGACAGCCCAATGGCTGTTTTGGGGCTTCTGGGCCAACAAATCATTTTGTGCCTGGCTTCACCAATACGGCAGCCATTTTGGGAAAGGGCAAATCCTCTGGCAACTTCCAGGCTTCAACATGGCTCCAAGCTGCTCAGAACATTTGAGAATCCCTGTTTCTGTTTGCAAACTCTCTCTATTTGCAAATTTTGGACCTAAAACTGGGGGCAAAAGCGAGATTCCTAAATTTTCTAAAGCTGACTTTTCGTTCTTTGGCCCTGTTTTGACTCCGGGGAAGAGACTAGAAACACTGTTTTCGGCTTTTATTTATTTATCTCCTTCTGTTGGAAGCAGAATGATCACCAAGTGCATTTCTTAACACGCCCAGGAGGACCAGCCTTATTTGCACCGTAGACGTCACTATACTGAGGAATCGGTTCACAGGGAACCCTGGGGGAGGGGGTGGGCTGTAGTTCCTCAGGTGGAAGATGTACCACCGGGCACCATCCTAGCAAAACTACAATTCCTTGCCTGCTTGCAATCTCCCAAAGCTATTTCTGCATGTAGAGCTGCCCAGAATGGTCAAGAAACTCTTTCGCACCATCTAGTGGTGGGGAAAAGGGACTACCTGGGAGGGAACTGGGCTCAGCATCCCCCTCTGGTGGATTAAAGGGGAGAAGCAGCTCCTTGGCAAGTTTATTTCCCCACACAGCTCCCAAAGTTTTGATGGAAATGGAAGGAAGTCCAGGGCGGGCTCATAGAAAAAACTGCACCATGGAAGGAGGAGCCTGAGCTAGGGGGGGCTTGGCCCCCTCCCCACAATGCCCCCCAGCCCCCTCGCTCAGCAGCTTCTGACACCGTGCTTTGTAGATGTCTCGTTCGTGGACCAAGCGAGCCACCTCCACCCGCAGAGACTCGAGCTGTTGGGCCAGCTGGGATTTTTCGGCCTCTAGGATGTGGCGTTGCTGGACCCGTTTGAAGCGGCAGGACTGGGCATAGCCGCGGTTCTTGAGGGTGCGCCGTTTCTGCTTCAGCCGCTGCACCTCGTCTTTGCCGAAGCCACGGAGCTGCCGATTGAGATCCCGGACCGACATGGAGACCAGCTGGGCATCGGAGAAGCGGTCGGAAAGCCGGGGGAGCTGGAAATGAGGAAGCTGTATCAGGCAGGCAAAGGGGGGGAACAAACGCCACATTTGGTGAGCAGAGGATGCTAAAGGTTTTGGCGTAAGCGCATGAGAGGATGGGGAAATGGCTGACAGACAATCAATGCTCAGGGAGAGCCCTAAGTCTAACCACCAACTGAGACATTGTCCTCCATTTACAACCGCGACAAAGCCCAACATTTCTGTTGCTAAGGAGAAACATTTGTTCAGTTAATTTTACCCCGTTTTATGATCTTTCTTCCCACCGTTGCTAAATGAATCATGGCAGTGTTTTAAGTTAGTCACACGATTGTTAAGTGAATCTGGCCTTCCCCATGGACTCTGCTGGTCAGACGGCTGCAAAAAGAGATCACGTGACCCCAGGAACATTGCAACCATCATAAATATGAGTCAAGTGCCAAGTAACTGAATTTTATCCGAGTGACCAAGGATTGTAAGTGTGAAAAACGGTCCTAAGTCCCCTTTTTCAGGGCCGTTATAACTTCAAATGGTCACTAAACAAATGACTGTAAGTCAAAGACTACCCTGTATGTTATCTTGTTTTGAATTCGGGCTTGTAACCAAGCTGGAGAAGAACTGTGTCGCCTAATATCTGAAACATCTGGGTGTGGCTGGACTACAACTCCCCACACTCCCAGCCCCTGGCTACAGATGGGAGTTGTCGTCCTCCGTGTCTAGATGATACCTGACTGAGGTAATACCTGCTTTCGGCACTGAGCCTAGTTCTCTCCAGGGGCACTATGAACCGAATTATTTATTTTTTGTCAGAATAGAGCTGGAAGGGACCTTGGAGGTCTTCCAGTCCAGCCCCTGTTCAACCTGGAGACCGTATAACATTTCAGACAAATGGCTGTCCAGTCTCTTCTTGAAAACCTCCAGTGATGGAGGACCCACAACTTTTTGTGGCAAGCAGTCCCGCTGGTTAATTGTTCCAATTGTCAAGAAGTTTCTCCTTAATTCCAGGTTGCTTCTCTCCTTGATTAGTTTCTATCCGTTGCTTCTCATCCTGCCTTCAGGTGCTTTGGGTAATAAGTTGACTCCTTCCTCTTCTTTGGGGCAACCCCTCAAATATTGGAATACTCCTATCATGTCACCCCAAGTCCTTTTCTCTAGACCGGCCAACCCCAAATTCTGCAACTGTTCTTCATATGTTTTAGTCCCTAGGCCTTTAGTTGTCTTAGTCGTTCTTCTTTGCACTTTTAACAAACTCTCAAAGTTTTTTTAAAAAAATATGCAATCCTGGCTACTGAGTTTGTGTCATATAAAACCCAGAAAACTGGATTAAGGAAACAACCTCGATTTGGATGGCCATAAGCAAGCGTACACCTTCTTTTAATGCTGGCTCTCTAGTCTCTCAAGAAATTAAGAATATTTTTATTCCCCTTGAAATATCTAATCCCCTCTCAGGTCTGAGAATGCTCATTTCTAATCACTACTGTGATTTATGATCCTTTTGCCCTTGTGCAGTCAGGTAAAGGCACTCTGCACATGCTCAAAAGCTATGCCTTCCGGAGGGGGCCTTCAACCGGGGACCCCTTCAATGAGGCAGCCTTTCAATTCAGAAGCTGTTCTAACCTTGGATGCCCTAGGGGACGTGGCTTCTAGCAAGACTCCTCTCTGCGCATGCTCAGAGACTCTTAATTAGACCCTGTTTACCAAGACTAATTACACCCACCTTATTCTCCAATACAAACAGTTCCCAAATTACAACAGTTTGTTTAATGACCAAAGCGACACTTCCTGAAAAAAAGTGAGTTATTCCCGTTTTTCACACTTAACGACTGTCGCAAGCGTCCCCAAAGTCCCGCAATCCAAACTCGGATGCTTGGCAACCAACTCATATTTATAATGGCCGCCGTGTCTCCCCTCCCCCTGGTCACGCAATTCGGTTTTGCGACCTTCTGACCACCAAAGCCAATGGGGGGAGCCGGATTCATTTAACGACTGTGTTGCTAACAGAACGGCGGCGATTCGCTTAACCGCTGCGGCAAGACAGGTCGTAAAGTGGGACAAAGTTCCACTTAAGTATCTCACCTGAGCAGCAGACATTCCGGGCTCCCAACGGTGGCCATAAATCAAGGACTAGCTGCATTCAATATTTGACATCTTTTTTTGTTTGTTTTGGCAGATTTACCTGTTGTTGCTCTGCGCCGAAGCTCTCCGCTGGCCCCAGGAAGCCCTGAAGCTGTGGGGTCACGCTGTTTCGAAGACCCCCTTCAGCCGTGGGCACCCCTAAAATGGCTTCCACGGCTTCATCCAGCCCCGGCATCATCTGCGTCTCTGGGCCAGTGCCAGCAGCTGCCGCCAAGGACTGGTGCAACGTCGCCATCCAATACAGCTCTTCCAAGGAGGATTTGGGGTCAGCCCCCTTGTCGAAGGTGGGCGAGGGGGGCACGGAGCTGCATGGGGTGGAAGTGACGGAGGAGCTGCTCCCTGGCCGGGGCAGCTCCTGTTTCACTTCAAACTTCAGCAGGTCGAAATCGTCCAGGTAATCCAGAGTGATGGGGCTGGCAGGTAAGGTGCTCATTCTGCGAGGGAGGGAAAGGAGATAAGGTTGTGGGGGGGGTTGTGTGGATCAATGGCGTCTGTGTACGTGTCTCACCTGGGTGAGGAGATCTGGATTAATGGATTAACTCTTGGGGTAGGGGGAAGGAAAATAATATTCTATGCATCCTATATCTATCTATCTATCTATCTATCTATCTATCTATCTATCTATCTAT